TGTCTTTCCCTCGGCATGTTTTCTCCCTGAACCCATCATGTAGCAGTGCACATTGGCTTATTGATTAGGTTGGAGCCAGTCACTTGGTAAAGGTGTTTTGTGTTTTATTCTTCTTTAGTTGACCTGCCAATGTAAATTATTTAGATAAGACTAACAGGTTCAGTCTTTGAACAAGTATATAAAAGGGGCTACTTGATATGTGAGTTCATAATAACATAAAAATATAAGGAGGCAGGTTTTTTAAGTATCACAGTACACTTGTAATATTGTTTTCGTAAACATTTGTATACCTCTTTCTGGGACAACATAGTTTCATCCATGCTGCTCCTGATCCGAGGACCAGAAGAACTGTATGGTGAACGGACCACCACATTTGACAGAAAACACAGTGTTTCCAAGGGAATTGGGGGGAAATTTCAAAGGCTCTATCTTTAGTAAGGATGGGAACTTGTTTTCCTGAGGCAATGGAATAAAAACAGATATTATCAATGTCACTGACAAAGGACTCCTGCCCTCCTGTGACCTCCCAAAGACAGTTTGACTTCAGTTCTTGAAAAAAAAAAAAAAAAAAACGCTGTCCATTTTTGGCCTACAATTTCTTCTAGGATTTTTGTGGATTCATGAGTCACACTTAAGTCTTTTATCCATTTTGAGTTTATTCTTCTATAGGGTGTAAGTTGATGGTCTAGTTTCATTTTTTTGCATGTAGCTGTCCAATTTTCCCAACACCATTTATTAAAGAGGCTGTCTTGACTCCATTGTATGTTCTTGCCACCTTTGTCAAATATTAATTGAGCATATTGCCTTGGGTTTATTTCTGGGTTCTCTGTTCTGTTCCACTGGTCTATATGCCTATTCTTATGCCAGTACCAGGCTGTTTTGATTACAGTGGCTTTGATGTATAACCTGAAATCTGGTAATGTGATCTCTCCAACTTTGTTCTTCTTTTTCAAGATTGCTCTGGCTATTCGAGGTCTTTTTTGGTTCCATACGAACTTTTGAAGTATTTGTTCTAGTTCTGTGAAGTATGTTGTTGGTATTTTGATGGGGATTGCATTGAATCTATAGATTGCTTTGGGTAGTATGGACATTTTAATGATGTTAATTCTTCCAATTCATGAACAAGGTATGTGCTTCCACTTTTTTATATCTCCCTCTATTTCTTTTTTCAATGACCTGTAGTTTTCTGCAAATAGGTCCTTAATTTCTTTGGTTAAGTTTATTTTTAGGTATCTTAATTTTTTTGCCGCAATGGTAAATGGGATTGTTTTTTTAGTTTCTCTTTCTGTGAGTTCATCATTGGTGTATAAGAATGCCATCGATTTCTTGACATTAATTTTGTATCCTGCTACTTTGCCAAAATCAATTATTAAGTCTAGTAAATTTTTGATGGATTCTTTGGGGTTTTCTACGTATAGTACCATGTCATCGGCGAATAATGACAGTTTTACTTCCTCCTTTCCAATTTGGATCCCTTTTATTTTTTCTTCCTGTCTGATTGCTGTGGCTAAGACTTTCAGTACTATGTTAAATAAGAGTGGCAAAAGTAGACATCCTTGTCTTGTTCCTGTTCTTAAGGGAAATGCTTTTAATTTTGCCCATTGAGTATGATGGTGGCTGTAGGTCTTTCATGAAAAGGGTACTCTAGTACACTGCTGGTTGGAATGAAGATGGTGCAGCCACTATGGAAAACAATATGATGTTACCTCCAAAAATTAAAAACTGAACTGCCATTTGACCCAGTGATCCCACTTCTAGGAATATACCCTAAGAAGCCTGAAACACCAATCAGAAAGAATATATGTACCCCCATGTTCATAGCAGCACTATTTACAATAGCTAAGATCTGGAAACTGCTCAAATGTCCATCAGTAAACAAATGAATAAAAAAGCAGTAGTACAAATACATAGTGGAGTACTATGCAACTGTAAGAAAGAAAGATCTCTTATCCTTTGAGACAGTATGGAAGGACCTGGAAAGTATTATCCTAAGCCAAACAAGCCAAACAGAGAAAGACAAGTATCATATGATCTCACTTATTTGTGGAATGTAATGAACATCTGTAACAAAAATAAATTAATTAATTTTAAAAAAAGTTTAGAGTGAGATAAGCTGCCTTCTGCAAGACATTCTTTTTTCTTCTCAAATTATGTCTAAACTGTATTTCCAACTATCATAGAGTCTGACATTAGGTTAATTAAATGAACAAGTGAGATTAGGCAAAAGAAAATGTTTTGGAAGCCATGGGTTTCTTAAAAGAAAATTCAAGTCTTATGGAAAATTCTTCAACAGAAGCATTGAAGGACAACTTGCTGCTTATGACAGGTGCGTGTGTGCACCTTCACTGAGCAGTACAGAAAGGGAGACCGAGACGAGGCAGCGGCCCTGTAGCACAGACCCACACATCTCCACGCCTTCGTCCAAGGGTTAAGCACCTGTTTCCTGCCAGACCCTCATCTGAGCACTAAGGTTCCGTGGAGAACAGCCTGGAGCCTGGTCCCAAGAGGCTGACGTTCTTGTGAGAACAGAAGCATCTGTAACCAAGCAAGCTGGTTTCAAGTGGCAGGCCCTGGGGAGGGAGAGGGAGGGCTTTCCAGGGAGGCCGGTGCTGCTGCCCTCTGACAGTCCAGATCTTTTCTTCAACGCCAGACTGCACCTGTGGTCCTGCAGGGATGCGATCCTACACATGCAAGACTCGTGGTTCTGAGAAGATTCCACACAGTGCAGGCCTGGAACCCAGCCTGACACCCAAGCGGGGCTGTGAGCCACCCCTCCCCCAGCCCTCTCCCCGCAGCCGATGCCCTCATGAATAAATAGCCTATTAAATGATGAAAGTACTCTGTAACCCTGAAGACACTTGACAGTCGCTCAGAAGAGAAAAGACTGGGAAAGGGAGTTAGTGAACCTTTTTTTATACTGCATTCTTTTTGGGCTTAGGAGGTATGTAGTGATGGTTTAACATTTCCTTCTCTTCGAGCATTCTCACCTGTACCAAATAAAAGTAGTCCTGGTCAGAAAGGTGAACTGTGCAATGTGATTTACACTCTCTTGTTGTTGTTGTTGTTAATCCTCACCTCACCCAAGGATATTTTTGCCATTGATTCTTAGAAAGAGTGAAAGGGCCCTAGCCGGTTTGGCTCAGCGGTTAGAGCGTCGGCCTGCGGTACAGAGAGACCCGGGTTCGGTTCCCGCTAAGGGCACGTACCTCGGTTGCAGTTTGTCCCCGGCCCTGGTTGGTTGTGCGGTTGGCAACCACTCGATGTGTCCCTTCACATCGATGTTTCTCTCTCTCTCTCTTACTCTCTCTCCCTCCTGCTCTGTCTGAACAAAAAATGCAAAAAAAATGTCCTCGGGTGAGGATTAAAACAAACAAACAAACAAAAAAAAAAAAAGAAAGAGTGAAAGGGAGGGAGGGAGGGAGGGAGGGAGGGAGGGAGGGAGGGAGGGAGGGAGGGAGGGAGGGAGGGAGAGAAAAACACATCAATCAGTTGCCTCTTATTCACACTCTGACCAGGGCTGGGGATCGAGCCAGCAACCCAGGTTTGTGCCCTTGACTGGGAATTGAACCCAAGACCCTTTGGTGCATGTCCGACACTCTAACCATCAAGCCACACTGGCCAGGGTATGACTTACACTCTTGGCTTTCTTTAAAGAGAGAGGTTACATCGTTCCAGTTTCCTGTGCTCTGTCACCTGTAACATAATAACTCATTCTATCACTGCTGGCTGTTCGCTCTCCTTTTGTTACTTTTAAATTTTTCTTTTTATGATTTTTTTGATTCTTTAGTTTCACTTTTTTTCTCTCCAGATCCCCATTCAACTGTAGCCTCCCCTCTGCCTAACTGAGAAATACCTTGGTCATGAGACCATTGTCCCCAAGTGTGTCTGCAAACATCTCTCCAAAGCCCCTGCACCCGCACCCAGACTTTCCAGAGTCACCTCCCAGGGCAGACCTCTCCCAGGGCTGTCCTCACCATGCTCACTTCCAGGCTCTCCAAGGGTGCCGTGACACCCCTGTGGCAATCAAGATGTAACTTTAACCCAGATGATACCTATCTTGAGAAAGCTTTAAAATGTCACCAGGTTCTTGTGGGGTGGTTAGATCTGGGGCTGGCTTCAGCCTGTCGTTCCCGGTAGTAGCCCTAGACCTCTGTGCTCCCCCTGGTGTGGAGTGTGCATGGCAGGGGCACCTCCTAGGGAAGGTGGGACACGGTAGGGGAGGGGGCAGCCTTGCGTCTGGCTGCTCTGAGGCTCTGAAGACGCCCTTTCTTTAGTATCTCTCCTTTATCTCTCTATCTACACTACTGTTGCTAAAAAGTGTAACCTGGAGCTAGTCATTTAACTTGCTAGGATTTTTATCTACACAAAATAGGGTTATCATGAAATGTAAACAATCCCTGACCCATAATAAAGTACTAGGTACTCATTATTAGCTGTTATTATGCTTATACCAGGGTGTTCAAGAGTTAAGACCTTCCAAGAAAAGAGGACTTTTTGCTTTTCTAGGATTTCTAGGGTAACTTTTGAGCACACATAAACATCTTTTTTTTAGAGAGAGAAGAGAGGAAAAAAGAGAGAAACATTGATTTGTTGTTCCACTTATTTATGCATTCATTGATTGATTCTTGTGTGTGCCCTGCCCGGGTATCAAACCTGCAATCTTGCCATATTAGGATGATGCTCTAACCAACTGAGCTTCCCGGCCAGGGCCACATAAACATCTTTCCATTCTTAAATATTTCCTACGTGACCGTTCCGATGGTTGTATATTTCTTGGTGCGATGCATTCCAGTGTAATGAGCACTCTCCTTCCTGCTCTGTGCAGCCAGGTGTGAAGGTCTGTCTGTCTTCCCCTCTGAATTGCCATTTGTCCTGAATGGTGGCTGCTTGGCAGTAGGGGTGGTGTCTGAGCAGACGACCCACGACCAGCTCATTGACCAGGTACTTACGGAGCTGTGTTCAACGATGAATACCTTTGACAGGCTCTTTTCCTTTTTCAGGGCTGCAGGGCTTTTCAGTTTGATTGACACTCTGTGGCCTCCAGCGATGCCTCTAAAAGCGCCCGGCCACAGCCTGGCCTGTGAAGAGGTAAGCTCAGCACGTGAGGACTACCCCTGGCCGCCACCTGCTCTGTGCCAGGTGCTGCACCGAGCACTGTCTCCACAGCCCGCAGCCCGAGAAGCCCAGCTCCAGTGAGCATGAGCCAGGACAGTCAGACCCACACATCATTCCAAAGCCACGCTCTGGGCGCTTTCCTGGCTGTGCTGACAGTGTGTTCTTCTTGAGGTTAATTTAGGATGGTATTTTTAAGCCGCAGTCGTTAGGGTTATGCCATTTGGGTCAACAGTTAGGGTCTTAGCCTCATACTAAACAAGATACAGAGTGCCCCCCACCTTCTGGTCACTGGTAGAACCAACACTCAGTTACCAGTCAGCAGAAGTCACATAACCCAATAAATAAAACCCATGTATTCACACAGCCATCGGTTAGCCAGGGATTCCCATTTCCCTGCCTCGTTGACTTGTTTGTGGTCGTTGCTCACAGGGGGAAACAGTCCACTAGGCTGGCCAGTATTGTTTGGGCCTCAGCTCCCAAAGCTGAACACCGGGGGTCGTCTCGTTCGTGTGGTAGCTGACTCCTTAGCAAAGTGTGGAGACCATGACTCTGTACGTGCTGGACCAGCACAACTGTTGTCAGAAATGCCATTTCCAATAACATAAAATGTAAAAAGGCTGTGGTACATTGACAAAATGGAATACTACTCAGCTATAAAAAAAAAAAAAAAAAAAAAAGGGAAATCTTATCCTTTGTGACAGCATGGATGGACCTGGAGAGCATAATGCTGAGTGAAATAAGCCAGTCAGAGAAAGACAAGTACCATATGATCTCACTCATATGTGGAATCTAAGGAACAAAATAAACTAACAAAATAGAAACAGACTCATAGAGAACAGACTGACAGTTGTCAGAGGGTAAGTGGGTTGCGGGACTAGCTGACAAAAGCGAAGGGATTAAGGAAAGAAAAAAACTCACAGACAACAGTTTGATAATTACCAGAGGGAAGGAGGAGGGGGTGGGGTGGGGGTAGAAGGGAGCATGGGGGTGATAAATGGTGCTGGAGGGAGACTTGCCTTGGGGTGGTGAACACACAATACAGTATACAGATGATGTGTTATAGAATTGTACTTCTGAAGCCTATACAATTTTATTAACCAATGTCACCCCAATAAATTCCATTTTAAAATGCTCATTTCTCCATTATTTGAAAGGAAGAATGTTCTAAATGATGTATTAAATGTACTCTGAAGAATAAATTTTTAAAATGAAATCTTGAATCGGTCATAAATTCAAAAGTACAAGTTTTTATACTTGGCCCCAGAGATAAACAACATAATCTATTTCTTACATAGGTATTTCTTGTTGACCGTTTAGAGACAGTATGCATCTGTGAACAAATATGTATATATTAAGGACTAGATATTATATTGTATTTTAACAATACATTCACATTCTACTTTTGCCTTTATTTCAAACAGGTAAAAACTCATCTGCCTCCTCCCAGCTTCTGTTATATCCTCACTGCTCGTCCAGGTCTGGGCCGAATCGATGTAATCGAAGACCCTATTTCCAAGCTTTACCAGCCTCCAGTCCCTCGCTTCTTAAGAGAAATTCTCCAGGTAGCATATTTGTTTCTAACAAGGCCTTCAATTACATTTTCTTTTCTTTTTTTTTTTTTTTTTGTATGTGTGCTTTGTGTGATGTTACTAACCTTTTCCATGCCTTTTCAGACGGATGGTCCCGGTACCCGTTGCAGTTTCTATGCCAGAGTGATCTACCAAAGACCGTTGGTAATCTCCCTTCCTTCCTCCTCCTAACGTGTTGTAATGCGTAATGTGTTATGAAGTTTATTCAAGGAGCCTCTATCCCCTTAGAAATTAAAGGAGCACCAAAGTGGAAAAGCGGTTTTAATTTTGAGTTGCGCATGCTCCACGCTGAGGTCAAAGCCGCTCCTTGGGTGGGTGTGGGCCGCCAGCCTCCGTGCTAAGCACTGAGGTACAGAGCAGCCCAGACCCCACCCTGCCGGAGGCCTCAGCCCCGTAGTCGTGGCTCCTTTCTGACACAGGCAGGTTGTAGAAAGGAAACAGGAGCTGAAACCTCACTAATTGGGGAGAGTAGGAATCTAAGGATTGAGCTCAGCCACGTCCCAGAACTAGCGCTTCAACAGTCCTGAGAGCCACGGACAGTGGAGGGAAACTCTGAGACCCCTCTGAGGCGGGGCGGCCTAGGAGCCTGTTTGCTTCCTTGCTGTTCAACAGATGAGCTAAGAGTAGACAAGGCCGAGATGTTCTTAGCAGGTTCCACACATGATGTAAGTTTCACAAGAAACCCCTGCTAGACCGTGATAGAGGAGCATCCACGCCCTGGTCACCTGAGAGGTCTGTAGAACATCCTGTCATTCAGGCCCTGCGTCCCTTTCTCTGTTCACCCTTTAGTAGTTTGACAGCTAATGAGTGCCTCTCCTAGGAATAAAAGCGTGGTTGACATTCGTCACTCAGCAGTGCTCCCTGTGAGCCTTGCCTGCATCTGGCTCAACAGGCAGGGGACAGGCCTCCAGGGAGGACACGTCTGGTCACCTGATGTGTCTCTTACTTTCGGAGTCTGGCGAACTGAAGCCTGACCGTGCACTCCTCTGGCCCGTCATCTGCAGGACGCTCCGTGTGTTAAGACACACCTGGCACCTGGCACCTTCCTATTATTCTAAAGTGCATTCCAGGTCGCGGGGATGTGACATCGGGACGTGGTTCACTGTGCAGCTGCAGGTGGAATGACATCCGGGGGCAGGAACATCGATCTCATGGCTTTTATACTGTGTACTCCTGCCCGCAGAGCCTGATCTGCCCGCAGCTTTGCAGCTGAGGACAGAGGTGGAGCATAAAGAAAGCGGGTTCAAATGCTCACACCATAAACAACCTCAGCCACCCACTGGGAGCCCTAGAGCAGAGAGAGGCACACAGCAGGCCATCTGGGCCCCCCTGTTCTGAGCTGTCTGCCGAGAAGTCAGCTCCCATCAGCACAGCCTGCCTGCAAGCATGTCTTCGGTGGGTGTGTACCGAGGGACTGGCGGTACATGGGGGACAGTCAAGGACTCAGAACCCAACTGGGCATATTCCTGAAATTCTCTGTGCCTTCTGTATTCTGCTTTTGTGGGAAAGAGAATCACCAAAAAAACAACTTCCTCAGGGAGGAACTGAAATGGTAAGTCCTGGGCCCTCTACATGGTTAAGCCAACACGTTCTGTAGTCACAGTGGACTGAGTCACTGCCAGGACCTGAGCTATCAGAAAGATTCAGTTGTATTAACATTCTACTAATGACTAAGTCATGAAAGTGGAAGATTTTTTTTTTTTTATTTCACTTTTGTTTTGATTGTTCAAAATTGTTAGAGTCACAGTAATTATAGATTCATAGTAGATCACAAATTATATAGGGAGTTTCCTATGTGCCCTCCTCCATGCCAACACCCCATACCCACAGTAACCACAGTACAGTATCAAAACCAAGAAACTGATATTGACCTAATTCATGGAACTGGTTCAGATCTCACCAGTCATACATACGTGCACATGTGTATACATGTATGTGTACTTTTCTGCAGTTTTGTCGCATGTGTAGCCTTGCACAATCTCCATCACAATCAGTATACTCCACCATACCACAGACTCCCTCATGTTCCCCTTCCCCATCCCCTGACCTCTGGCAACCACTCATCTGTTCTCGCCATTATAATCATGTTGTTTTATGATGGTTACATAAACAGAAACATGGAGTATACAGATGTAGGTAAAAGTAGGTTTAAATTTATAATACAATAATTAGTGAGTAATAATACAAGAATAAACTGTTTCCTAGACTCACAACTGTGAACTGCTTTTGCCCACCGCTGCATATCCGTATCAGTTTCCTAGGCCTGCTATGCGACGCGCCAAATACTAGATCCATTGAAACAACAGAAATGGCCCTGGCCGGGTAGCTCAGTTGGTTAAAGTATCATCCTGAGAAGCCAAGGCTGTGGATTTGATCCCTGGTCAGGACACACAGAAGAGTCAACGAATGAATGTATCAATAAATGGGACAACAAATCGATGTTTCTCTCCCTCTCTCTTTTTCCCTCTCTCCCTTCCTCATCTCTCTAAAATCAAATTTTAAAAAAATAATCCCTGGTGAGTGGCTCAGTTGGTTGGAGCATTGCCCCATGCACCAAAAGGTTGTGGGTTCAATTCTCTGTCAGGGCACAGACCTAGGTTGCAAGGTCGATCCCCAGTCTGGGCACATTTGGGAGGCAACCCATTGACGTTTCTCGATTCACGTTTGTCTCTCACATTGATGTCTGTCTCCCCCGACACACAAACACACACACACACACAGACACACCTGCCCCTCTAAAATCAGTAGAGACATATCCTTGGGTAAGGATTAAAAAAAGAATAATAATAAAATACAAAAGAAATGTATTGTCTCATGCTTCTGGAGACTAGAAGTCTGAAGTCAGCGTAGCAGGACGTGTTTCCTCTGACAGCTCTAGGGCAGGTGAGGGGAGGGTGCTTTCCTTTCTCCTCCAGCTTCTGTGTGAGCTGCAGTCCTTGGCCTTCCTTGGGGTGTAGCTGCATCACTCCAGTCACAGAGCCTCTTCGCCTGTGTCATCACAGGGCCTCCCCTCAGTCCAAATGTCCCCTCTTCTTCTGAGTGTTCTTTCTATTATTATTGTCAGTGTTACAGATGTCCCCCATTTTCTACCTTTTTGCCCCCCTCCACCCAATCTCCACCCCACCCCAGACCTTCCCCCCACTGTTGTCCGTGTGCTTGGGTTATGCATATATGATCTTTGTCCATCTCTTCCTGTCCCCTCCACCCTGCTCCCCGCTGAGATCTGCTAGAATGTTCCATGCATCCATGCCTCTGGACCTGTTTTATTCCTGGTTTTTTTGTTCATTAGATACCACATATGAGTGAGATCATGTGATATTTGTCTTTCTCTAACTGGCTTATTGAGCTTAGCATAGTAGTCTCCAGTTCCATCCATGCTGTCACAAAGGGTAAGAGCTCCTTCTTTTTTACAGTAAATATACTACAGCTTTTTTGTCCACTCATGGTCACTTGGGCTATTTCCAGAACGTAGTTAGTATAAATAATGCAATGAACATAGGGGTGCATATATTATATTGGATTGATATTTGGGGGTTCCTAGGACATATTCCCAGAAGTGGGATTGCTGGGTCAAAAGGCAGTTCTATTTTTTAATTGTTTGAGGAAACTCATACTGTTTTCCACAGTGGCTGCCCCAGTCTGCATTCCCACCAGCAGTGCACCAGGGTTTCCGTTTCTCCACATCCTCACCAGCACTTGTTTGATTTGTTGATGGTAGCCATTCTGGCAGGTGTGAAGTGATACCTCATTGTAGTTTTAATGTAGTTTTGTATCTCTCTGACTAGTGATGTTGAGCATTTTTCATATGCCCATTGGCCATCTGTATGTTCTCTTTGGAGAAGTGTCTATTCAGGTCCTTTGCCCATTTTTAAATTGGATTGTTTGTCTTCATGGTATTGAGTTGTAGTGTGAGTTCTTTGTATATTTTGGAAATTAACCCCTTTTCAGATGTATCATTGGCAAATATGTTCTCCCATATAGTAAGTTTCCTTTTCATTTTGTTGATGGTTTCTTTTGCTGTGCAGAAGCTTTTTAGTTTGATGTAGTCCCATTTGTTTACTTTTTCCTTTGTTTCCCTTGCCCTAGGCTTAGGAGATGTATTGGTGAAAATATTGCTATGTGACATGTCTGAGATTTTACTGTTTATATTTTCTTCTAGGACTTTTATGGTTTTGTCACTTACATTTAAGTATTGTACACATTTTGACCTTATTCTTGTGTATGGTGTAAGTTGAAGGTCTAGTTTCATTTTTTTGCATATATCTGTCCAATTTTCCCAAAACCATTTGTTGAGGAGACTATCTTTACTCCTTTACTCTTGCCTCCTTTGTCATATATTAATTGACCATATTGGTGTGGGTTGATTTCTGGGCTCTCTGTTCTGTTCCATTGATGTGTATGCCTGTTCGTGTGCCAGTACCAGGCTGTTTTTATTACAATGGCTTTGTAGTATAGTTTGATATCCAGTATTGTGATCCCTCTAACTTGTTTCTTATTTCTCAAGATTGTAGTGGCTATTATGGGTCTTTTTTGGTTTCATATAAATTTAGGAGATATTTGTTCTAGATCTGCAAAATATCCTGTTGGTATTTTAATAGGGAGTACATTGAGTCTATAGATTGCTTTGGGTGATACGGAGATTTTAATAATGTTAATTCTTCCAAGCCATGAACACAGTATATGTTTTCACTTGTTTGTATCTTCCTCTATTTCCGTTTTCAGTGTCTTGTAGATTTCTGAGAATAGGTCTTTTATCTCCTCAGTTAGGTTTATTCTGAGGTATCTTAATTTTTTTTGCTACAATGGTAAATGGTATTTTTTTTTTTTTTTTAGTTTCCCTTTCTGAGAGTTCATAATTGGTGTATAAAAATGCCATCAATTTCTGGACATTAATTTTGTATCCTGCTACTGCCAAATTTATTTATAAATCTAGCAGTTTTTTGGTGGAGTCTTTAGGGTTTTCTATATACAATAATATGTCATCTGAGAATAATGACAGTTGTACTTCCTCCTTTCCAATTTGAGTGTCTTTTATTTCTTTTTGTCTGATCGCCCTGACTAGGACTTCTAGCACTATCTATGTTGAATAAGAGTGTTGGAAGTGGACATCCCTCTCTGGTTCCCGATCTTAAGGGGAATGCTTTTAGTTTTAGCCCACTGAATATGATCTTAGATTTGTCATATATGGCCTTTATTATGTCGAGGTATGTTCCCTCTATTCTTACTTTGCTGACAGTTTTTATCATAAATGGGTGCTAGATTTGGTCAAATGCTTTTTCTGCATCTATTTATATAATCATGTGATCATCTCATTTTGTTTATGAGATGTATCTTCCATTTTGGTTATGAGATTTGTGAATATTAAACTAACCTTGCGTCCCTGGAGTAAATCCCACTTGGTCATGGTATATGATCTTTTTAATGTATTGCTGGATGCAATTTGCTAATATTTTGTTGAGGATTTTAGCATCTATGTTCATCAAGGATATTGGCCTGTAATTTTCTTTCTTTGTAGTCTCTTTATCTGGTTTTGGAATTTGGATAACATTTGCCTTGTAAAAAGAGCCTGGAAGTCTTCCCGCCTCTTTAATTTTTTGAAGTAGATTGAGGATAGATGTTAATTTTTCTTTGAGTGTTTCATTAAACTTGCCTGTGAAGCCACCCAGTTCAGGACTCTTATTTGCTGGGAGTTGTTTTTTTTGTTTGTTTGTTTGTTTTTTCTACTGTTGCTTCAATTTCATTAGTTGTTATAGGCCTATTCAGGTTTTCGATTCTTCCTAATTTAATTTGGGAAGATTGTATGTTTCTAGGAATTTGCCCATATCCTCCAGGTCATCCAGTTTGTTGGTATATAGTTATTCAAAGTATTTTCTTACAGTCCTTTGTATTTCTTTGATGTCAGTTGTTACTTTGCCTCTTTAATTTCTGATTTTATTTATTTGGGTCCTCTCTCTGTTTCTTGATAAGTTTGGCGAAAGGTTCATCAATTTTGTTTACCTTTTCAAGGAACCAGCTCTTGGTTTCATTGATCGTTTTTATTGTGTTTTTAGTCTCTGTGTTATTTCTCTCTAATCTTTATTATTTTCTTCCTTCTGCTTACTTTGGGCTTTTTGTTGTTATTGTTGTTTTCTTTATAGTTCTTTTAGTTATAAGGTTAGATTGTTTATTTGAGTGTGTTCTTGTTTCTTGAGATAAACCTATAATGCTATGAACTTCCCTCTCAGGACTGCTTTTGCTGTGTCCCACAGACTTTGGGTTCTTGTGTGTGTGTTTTCATTTGTTTCCAGGATGCTTTTTATGTCTTCCTTAATCTCACTGGTAATCCATCCATTGTTTAATAACATGCTATTTGGCCTGCATGTGTTTTAATGTTTTTTGAGTTTCATGCCATTGTGATCCAAGAAGATGCTTGATATGATTTCAATCTTCTTGAATTTGTTAAGACTTATTTTGTGTTCTAACCTGTGGTCTATCTTTGAGGATGATCTATGTGCACTTGAGAAGAATGTATATTCTGATATTTGGGGATGAAATGTTCTGTAAATACCAATTAAATCCATCTGAGCTCTTGTGTGGTTTAAGGTCACTGTTTCCTTGTTGATTTTTTTGTCTTGAAGATCTATCCATGATGTTAGTGGGGTTTCAAAGTCCCCATGCGATGACTATATTAGTATCGATATTTTCCTTAAAGTCTTCCCTATTTGTATGGTTTAAGTCAAGTTTAATATTTTCCAATGGATGTCCACTCCTTTCAATGTTATTTATTGATAGGATTCCATTGATTTGCTTTTGCAACTTTGTCAAAATTAATATGGTATTTTTTTTGTAGAAGAAATCTGTTTTTTAATAATATTTTAGCTATAAGATTGAAGAATCAACTACTCTTTTTTTTTGTCCTTTTCAGAGGATATTATTGTTACCGACTTTGTTCATAACCCAATGGTAAAGATGACTTGATAGTTAATTTCAATGGAAATTAGACCATTTTGGTTCCATCAAGAGATTGAAAAAGAGACAATAAACCAAATTTAGGGTATTTACAAAGAGTATGTAAAATCTTTGAAGACTGTCAGAAAAACTTTCAGCTTCAGATAATCTTAGATTGTTTTTCAATTTTTTTTCTTTCTTTTAATCTACACCTGAAGATATTTTCCTACTTATCTTTAGATAGAGTGGGAGGGAGAGAGAGGGAGAAAGAGAGAGAAACATCAACATGAGAGGGACATATCGACATTGCCTCCTGCATGACCCCGACCAGGTCTGGGGACAAACCACAATCAAGGCACGATTTGATTCCTTGACTGGAATCAAACCTGCAATTCATCGGTCCGTGGGCTGATGCTCCAACTGCTGAGCCAAACCATCCAGGGTTTTGTTTGTTTGTTTGTTTTCAATTTTTATTTATTGATTAGAGAGAGAAACATCAATTTGTTGTTTGACTTATTTATGGCTTTATTGATTGATTCTTGTATGTGCCCTGACCATGGATCAAACCCACAACCTTAGCATATCAGGACAATGCTGTCTAACCAACTGAGCTATCCAGCCAGGGAAGATAACTGTAGAAAATAATCTTTGCCCTTCCTGACATAGCTACCATTTTTAAAAATGTCATTTTGCCAGTTGTTCCTAAAAAAAAATTTTTTATAACTCCATGGTCCAATACAGGTTCATATATTGCACTTAGTTTTCATGATTCTTATCTCCTTCCAATGAAACATTTCTTCATCTTTGCTTATCTTTTACGATTATGATATTTTTGAAGAATAGAGGCCAGTTACCTAAATGAATGTCCTTCCATTAATATTTGCCTTGTTATCTCATGAATAGATTCAGATTATGCATTTTTGACAAGAATATCACATAAAAATACCGTGTTCATATCCAGAAACACACAGTTGATTTGTCCAGTGCTGTGATATTTTGTCAGTTGATTAAGATGTTATTTTCTAGGTATCTCCACTCTAAAGTTGACTTATAAATATTTCATACTTATTAATTAGTAACTATCTAACAGGTATTTTGTGGGAAGATACACTGAGACTGTATAAATATCCTATTTCTTATCAAACTTTTACCCACTCATTTTAACCTCCATATGATTCTTGCCTGAATTATTATTCTGATAGCAGCCAAATGATCATTTTCTAATAATTCTAGCATTCCTTCTACATTAAAGTATGGGCATTTGGCTATAGTTAAGATCTTTTCATTTCTCTGATTGATTTATATATTTACTTATTTATTTCTGTATGGACTAGTGGATTCAGTTTTTATTCAGTGCATTATAATCTGTTACTATTGTTTATTTTAATGTCCAAATTTTCCCAGATTCAAGCTGGCTCCTGTACCCTTTGAATATGTTCACATCATTCTTTGAGTACTTCCTTATTTTCTGATACAATAAGATGTTTCAAACTAATCTTGTGCTTTCTCTGCTTTTAAATCAGCCATCTCTTTATGAGTCCTGGTTGATTTTTAAAAGAGAATGGCTTTTTTTTTTTTTTTTTTTTTGAGAATGGCATTTAGAAGCCATGATCTGGGTACTGGGTGGGCTCATTGCTACTGGGATGTCATTGACCCTCTCAGTGGACAGAGCAAGGAACTCAAGCTCACATACATATAAATTATATCTGTTTCTATCTATCTATCTGTCATGATTTTATACCAATACCTCCAACTCTAGACCATTACCTCAGAATTGACTCTAGGGTTTCCAATTTCCATATTTATTCAACAGTGATAAACCTGGCTCTCATTTTGCTCAATTTAACTTACTCTGATTTTCTGTAAATAATCAACTGTGTGAACCTCCCAACCACGCCAGCTGCCTCTTCCACCCAGTCCACAGCTCCTGACCATGCAAGTCAGCTTCCCTGCCCCGTCTGTCAGCCAGCCACGAGGAATCCTTATCCTGGCCACACCATCCATGCCAGCAAAACCAGCCGAGCCTCAAGTCAGCCAGGTTCTCAGGGCCCAACCCTACTGACCGCCGGGATCTTCCCAGCCAAATCCTTGACCCCATTTGCATCTAGTGAACCCTAAACTTTAAAATGGCTGAATGCCATTTTAAAGAACTTTGAAAGGCATTACAACTCTTGCAAATAAAAAAAAATGAAAAAGAAAAAAATTACAATGAAAGAAGAAAGTGAAAACAACTAAGATTTGATACCTGCTGCATACCAAAATCTGAAGGCAAATAAGATGTAGTTCTGTCATATTCAGTTTGGGCTTCTGTAACCAAATACCCTAGACTGGGTGCTTAAACAGCGAACATTCACTTCTCACAGCTGTGGAGTATGGAAGTCTAAAATCAAAGTGTCAGCATGGTCAAGTTTTTAATGAGGGCTCTCCTCTTGGTTCACAAAAGGACATCTCCTTGTATCTTCACAATGTCAAGAGCAAAGAGAGGAAGCAAGCTCTCTGTCTTTTCTTACAAGGGCACTAATCCCATTACGAGAGCTCTACTCGTATGATCCCAAGCGCCCCACTTTCCATGACCATTACATTGGAGGTTAGGATTTCAACATATTAATTTGGGGTTGGGGGTTATTAACATTCAGTTATATAACATTTCCTAACCCTTAGGAAACTTACATCTAGCAGGACAGGAGAATGTATATGTTCTAAATATAAAACAATGTGGTAATTAGCATTATATGTATACAAACGTGGCATCAGGAGGCAAGGAGCAACAAATTCTTCCTGAGCAGGGCAGAGGACAGAGTCGTGCCAGGGAAGGGCAGACTGCATCACAGCAAAGGAGCCCTTTAAGCAAGTACGAGGTTGGGGCTGCAAGGGCACAGCCTGGTCAGTGGGGGCTGGCTAGGGGCCAAGACATGAGAAGTCTGTTGTATGTTTTTAAATATTTGTTGAAATGATGTTAATGTAAATATGTAATAATGCTCGTGTAAATAATAGTCACCTAACATATTGCTCTTAAAAAATAATTTTGGATATAAGAATAGCTAATAAGTTAATACTCTTTAACTGTGTCTTGCAGCTGAGCAGTTTGGAGCAAAGAGAGATTTGGCTGACGGTGACTGATGTTACCCTGCAGATGCAGGATGGAAGTAACTCTGACTTCCCCCGAACCTTGCCAGTCTGTGTGACCCCCTCCTGTGTGCTGGGCCAGGAAGTCCTGGAGGTGCTCGCCAAGGCTACCTCTCATAGCTTCTTCTTCAGAGATGCTCTCCGGGACCAGGGTATGCTCTCTCCTGGACAGATTTGATCCAGTGGTGACTTACAGATTCCATACAATGGCCTTGTGACTCCTAGGTGCCTCTGTCTTACTTGGGGAGGCTGGCCCTCCCCCTGAGCCCACTGCAGACACGGCCTGCCAAGCACAGTAGGCCCGTGGCACCAGCCTCAGCTTTCAGTGACCATGTCACGGCCACCCGGACAGAACTAGAATCCCCTGCAGTACTGACAGACCTGGGAGAGGGGCCATTGGTCACTCAAGGATTGTCTGTTGGTGGAACCTTTACAGGTGCAGAAGCCACTTGAAGCCATTTCCTGGAACATCATTTTTTTAAAAAACATGCGAAAAGCTACAAATTGTAAACACGTACACTTAGATCAGTCAGCCACTGCCTTATTTTTTTTTTTTTGTTTGAGGAATCAAACTGGCATCCTACCTCAACTGTATATCTATTTTTTTTATTGAGAAATAATTTAGATACCTAAATTTCACCTTTCTGAATTGAATTTGAATCTAGTGTTTGTGTGTTTTTTCAGCTTAGCACACTGGCAGCTTTGCGGCCTCCTTTCTGCACACGCGTGTGTCTCTGGACCCTGAAGGGACCCGCAGTCATGCCTGTGGCCCGCGGCTCGCAGGAGGCTAGCAAGGGACACTGCCTACACCGGCAGGACGCTGCCTTCACCGGCAGGACGCTGCCCGCACCGGCAGGACGCTGCCCGCACCGGCAGGACACTGCCTGCACTGGCAGGAGAGCTCCCTCTGCTTTTCAGCGGTTCCATCTGACATGTCTCTGTCGACAGGTCGACTTGTTTGTGCTGAACGAACTGTCCTCTTGCTTCCAAAGCCCACGTCGGATGTGGCCTCCGGTACTCACTCCTGTGAGCTGGTTGGTCCTGTGAAGCTCGATGAACTGGATTCTGTCACTCGGGTCAACTCCATTTGCAGTGTTCAAGGTGGGTAGTCGATCTTACTGGAAATGGCATTTCTATTTTCTTCAATATCACATTTGTCAAGTATTTGTTGAGTACCTGACATGTTCCAGACATTGATACATAAGGAACAAAATCAGAAGAGGTTCTTGCCTCTTGGACTTGTAGTCTGTATAGAAAGACATCAGTCAGATGTGCACCCAGTCACGTGTGGAACCACAGTGCGCTGAGTGCCCCAGGTGCTGCGGAGCGGACCTCACCTTGTCCGGGAGGTCACTGGAGTCCCACGGGCTGCGAGCGACCTGAGGCGGAGCTAGAGGAGCCAGCGTGTGCAGGCGAGGGGCGCCGCCGTCAGGAGTGTGCACTGTCTTCTTGACAGAGAGACCGAGGTCCAGTTTCGGTCTCTGCAGAGCAGAGTGGCGGGGTGAGGGCCTTGGGTAGCAGTAGCCAGTAGTGGGGTGAGCATCGGTCTGAAGGCTGAAGTAAATCCAGGAGTAGACATGAAGAGGGAAATTGACAGGTTGGGTGATGAGTTTGCTGCAGAGGGAGCAAGGCATACACGGGGCGCAGGACCATGCGCGGTGACCCACCATGCTGCACCCTGTGCACAGGAGCATGTCCATTTGCCCCCTTCAGTGGGAGCATGTATGACTCTGCTACACGTTATTCTGTCACTTACTTTCCTCACTTGATACTCTAGCAGGGATGACCAACAAGTACAGTCAATAGAGACCAACTCAAGATAGTAATAGTCACATAATACTCCCTCATATGAATAAATTGTCCTTTAACTGGTGCACAGTCCAAGGTATTCCTCTGTTTTGCAGTCAAGCAAGGCTAAAAAAAGTGTCTTTCCCTTCATCAGTCCCTACTGATATCTGTCAGGGTCTTAGAGTTCATGTATTTTTTAACCAACTTTATTGCCATATACCAACACTACAATTCACCCATCTGAAATGTGTTAGTGGAGTAAGAGCTTTGCAACCATCACTAGATCTAAGTTGACAACATTGTCATCATTCCAGAAATAAATGCCATGCCCATTGTCTGTCATTCCCCATACTCTCTCCTACACCCTGGTCTTAGGAAAGCCCTGGTCTACTTTCTGTCTCTTAATTTTCATTTTCTGGATATTTCACATACATGAAACCATGATGATGTGGTCTTTCATGATTGGCTTCTATTTAAGCACAATGCTTTCGAAGCCATCTGTGATTAGCCTGTCAGCACGTCATTTCTTTTTATGGCCGAACGTCACATTCTGTGGATGTGCCACATTTTGTTATTCAGTCACCAGTTGATATATTTTGGGTCATTTCCACTTTTTGGCTAAACAGTGCTGCTATGAATATTTGTGGACAAGTTTTTGTTGAGCACCTGTTTTCAAATTTTGGGTGTGTATCCAGGAATGGAATTGCTAGGTCATATGGTAACCCTGTGTTTAACCTTTTTGTAGAAATGCTGAAGTGTTTTCCAATCCATGTATTCTTTTTGTATTCTTTTTTTTTTTTTTCTCGCCCAAGGACATTTTTTTAAGTTTTTTGTTCAGATAGAGTGGGAGGGAGAGAGAGGAAGAGAGAGAGAGAAAGAAACATCGAGTAGCTGCCACCCGCACGACCCACCAGGGCTGGGGACAAACTGCAACTGAGGTACGTGCCCTTAGCAGGAACCGAACCCGGGTCTCTCAGGATTGCAGGCCGACACTAACCGCTCAGCCAAACCAGCCAGGGCTGTTTTTATATTCTTAACATTAGAAGATATTACTACATTAATTCCAAAAAGTGTACAAAAAGTCACACTTCCAAAAGTATTGTCTAAGAGGGCCTGTTTCCTCCACCCTTACATTTCTGAATCTTTTATGATTTTGATGAATATCAAAAATTATGACCCCATTGTTACTTTAATTCACATTTCTGTCTGCTTGTGAAGTCAAGCACTTGGTTCACTATGTTGAGGCCATTTGGATTTTCTCTTCTGTGCATCTCCTTTTAGAATAAATACCAAAAGCATAACTAAGGTTGTGATTTGAGAGAAATCAGAGAATTACAGCCCAGAGGTCCTGAAGAAAGCAGCCTGACAGTCACCTGTCCTCTGGGTCCACCGTTGTCTCATCTGTAAAACAGGGTTTTTTCAGGCAGAATTGTTTAGGGCCTTCCAGACAGGTGGGAGGGCAAACACCACAGAGATCCCAGAGCAGTTGTAAAGCTTCACCTCCTGGAGGAGTGGTAGGGCCATCATGGGACAGGTCTGGGTCTGTGTTGTTCTGCTTCCCAGGCCACACTCAGGAGTACATAATCAGATTTTTTCCTAAATGAAGGGATGCTGTCCACGTTATAGATAGACTGGTGCCAAGCTGGGATTGGTTGCGGGCAGGAAGATGAATTGCACAGACCCAGAGTTGTGGAGGCTAGACGGACTCTGCAGATTGTGTGCGGTGACTCTGAGCCCCGCCGCATGGTGCCCTTGCAGACAGGCTGTGAGGGCAGCGCACGCAGTGAGGACGAGCTGGGGCACTGTGCATGTTCCCCAAGAGCTTGTCCACAGCCATCACTGTAGACACTTCCCTTCCACCTGTGTTCTCCTCACTGGTTGCTACCTGTTTTCCTCCCATCCCCTCACCTCTCTCAGAGCCCAGGATTGGTCAAGGGCTCAGAGAAAGGATGTGGGAGCAGCTCCCCAGTGTTCCCTGCCCCATATCTGAAGGTCACTGCCGTGCCCCACACCACTTAGGCGGTCGGGAGCCTATTATAAAACCTATAATAAGCCCAGCCAGTGTTGCTCAGTGGTTGAGCATCGACCCATGGACCAAGAAAGAGGTCATAGGTTTGATTCCTGCTCAGGGGACATTCCCAGGTTGTGGGCTTGATCCCCAGTAGGGAGCATGCATGAGGCAGCCAGTCAATGTTTCTCTCTCATTGATGTTTCTATCTCTTTCTCTCTTTCCCTTCCTCTTTCTCTATGAATCAATAAAAAAAAAAATTTTTTAAACCTATTCTAAAACCTATGTTCTTATTGATTTTTAGACAGAGACAGGAAGGGAGAGGGAGAGAGAAAGAAACATCGATGTGAGAGACATCAATCGGTTGCCTCCCACATGCGCCCCTACAGGGTATCAAACCCACAACCTGAGTATGTGTGCTCTACCAGGAATCAAACCAACGACCCTTTGGTACATGGGACAAAGCTCCAACCAACTGAGCCATGCCAGCCACAGCTTTTTCTTTATAATTTCCCTCCTGGGGCTTTCTTTCCATCCGAACCAATCTTGACTAGCTCTGCTCTCAGCCGTTAGCCTGGGACGCCCCTGTATGAATCGTTTATGTTAGGTTTGATTCACTGTTTCCTAAATCACATGACTTCTTTATTGGTTTGTTCTAACTGTAGGATTTTTGTAGATGTTCTTTACCAAGTTGAGGAAGCTCCCCTCTATTCTTAGATCACTGAAGGTATTTATCATGAATGGATGTAGAATTTTGTCAAAAGCTTTTCTACACCTATTGATATGATCATATGATTTTTACTCTTTAAGGTTTTTTTTAAAAAAATTTTTCTTTATTGATTTTAGAGAGACAGGAAGGGAAAGGGAGAGGGAGATAAAAACATCAATGAGAGAGAACATTGATTAGCTACCTCCTGCATGCCCCACACTGGGGATTTGGCCCACAACCTGGGCATGTGCCCTGACTAGAATCGAACCAGTGACCTCTTGGTGCATGGATTGATGCTCAACCAGTGAGCCATACCGGCCAGGCCATTCTTTAGGTTTTGATATGAATATATTAATTGATTTTTTAATATTAAACTATCCCATTTAATTATTGTATAACCCTTTTTTATACTGTTGGATTAGATTTCCTAATATTATATAAAGAACTTTCGCATCAATGTTCTTGAGAAATACTGGTCTGTAGTTTTCCTTTTGTGTCATGTTTTGGTATTAGATTAATACTTTCCTTATCGAACAAGTTAGGAAGTGTTCCCTTTGCTTCTATTTTCTGGACGGGATTGTAGAGAATTGGTGCAATTTCTTCCTTAAATGTGTTAGATTCCACCAGTGAACCCGTCTGGGCCTGGTGCTTTCTGTTTTGGAAAATTGTGAATTATCGACTCACTTTCTTTAATATGTGTATAGGCCTACTCAGATCATCTATGTCTTCTTGCATAAGTTTTGGTAAATTGTATATTTCAAGGAATTGGTCCATTTCAGCTAAGTGATCAAATCTGGGAGCATAGAGTTGTTAATAACATTCTTTTATTATTCTTTTAATGTTTATGGGATCAGTAATGATGGCCCCTTTGATTTCTGATATAAATAACTTGTTTGTTCTCTCTTTCATTCTTGGTTAGCCTAGCTAGAAGGATATCTATTTTTATTGATCTGTTTTTTAAATAATTTTTTTAACCCTCACCCAAGGATGTGTTTTTATTGATTTCAGAGAGGAAGGTGGGGGGGGGGAGGGAGAGAGATCCAAGATCAGTGTAAGAGAGAAGCATCAATCATTTGCCTCCGGTATGCACTCCGACTAGGGATCGAATCAGCAACCTAGGTATGTGCCCTGACCAGGGATTGAACCTGCAATCTTTTTGGTACACAGGACAACACTCCAACTATCTGATCCACTGAGCCAGGACTATTGATCTTTTCAAAAAACCAACTTTTGGGTTTCTTGATTTTCTTTATTGATTTCTTATTTTCAATTTCATTGATTTCTGCTCTACTTTTTATAATTGCTTATATTCTCCTTTGGTGTCAATTTGCTTATCTGTTTCTTATTTCCTAACATAATTTTTAATATATGCATTCAGTGATACTATAAGTTTCTCTCTAAGCACTGCTGTTGCTGCATCCCACACATTTCAATGTGTTTTGATTTTCATTTAGTTCAAAATGTTTAAATTTCTCCTGACATTTTTTTTTAACTCGTGTTATTTAGGAGTGTGTTGTTTAATCCCCAAATATTTGGGAGTTTCTCTCATTGATTTACTGTTTAATCCTGTTGTCGTCTAAAAGCATACTTAGTATA